ATACCTGGGGGTTGGGCTAGATGACCTCTAGGGGTCCCTTCCAACCCAAAACATACTATGATTCTATGATTCTAAGTATATTTTAATTCTTCTCACAAAGGAAATAAAGGATAACAGTTTGATCCGAGATACTGGACAGAATTACTGAATATTTGCTATTGACAAAAATTGTATATGCCTATCTGCTTTTCTAGCTAGTTATTTTTCACTCATTCCCTCATCACATCTGGAGTACTGTGTTCAAGAAAGATATGGAATTACTGGAGCAAATCCAGCAAAGTGCCACTAAAATGATTAAGGGATTGGAACATCTTTCGCACGAGGAAGGCTGAGAGTGCTGGGACCGTTTGGCCTGGAGAAGAGAAGGCTCAGGGAGGGATCTTACCAGTGCCTGATTGGTGTCAATGTAAAGGGAAGCACACTCTTCTCGTTGGTGTCCACTGACAGGACAAGAGGCAATAGACACAAATGGAAACACATGAAACTCCATCTAAACATAAGGAAATACTTTTTTACTGTGAGCATCAGACACCAGAGCAGGTTGCCCAGAGAGGTTGTGGAGTCTCCACCCTTGAAGATATTTAAAACCTGACTGGACTTGGCCCTGAGCAACCTGCTCTAGCTGACCATCCTTAGGTAGGGGCATTGGACTACATGATCTCAAGAGAAGCCTGCCCACCTCAGCAATTCTGTGATTTGTCTAATACTGTTCAGCTTCTGAAAACAATTTTGTTTGCACCAAATGCATGCCATGTCTTCCATGAAAAAGTTGTATCACACTATACTCTACATGTATTAGTGGATCAATTTGAACTGCTATAGATTCTTTCTTTGCATTAGTTTCTGAAACTATGGTATGTTTATGTACGAACTACACCGTTCTCTCTACCCCCCACATCGTAACTATCAACACCATATACAAACTGTCAATAGATTAGGTTTTCAGTAATTCACATAAATACATAAGCCTTTAGAAGCAGGTTCTTTCCCAGGTCACAAAAACACTAACAAAATACCAAACTTCAAGACTGGATAAGATGTCCCACACATGTGTGCTCCTATACAATAACTATCAAAAATGTGAAAGGAATGGTGGGTCAGTTTATAAGTAGCTAAAGGTGAAGATGGGACTTATTTTTTTATTATTATTAAAAGAAAATATGCCACTGGATGCAAAACTAAGACCAAATGCTGCATTTAGGTTTACTGATTCTATATTCACTTCATATACTTGGACACATGCTCCCAATGAAAAGATGACCCAGGAAGCAGATGATGACTTAAGGCAAATATGGGTAAGTTTATCACTTAAATCTGACACATATATTCTGTGTGGATGTACAGCCTCTAATTTTATTATCTGTTCCTCTGCCTTAGCAGTACATCTACAGTCATAATGCAGGCCTGTGCAGTTGCAAGAGCTAAGCAATCTAAGTAATTTGGATCCCTTTTTAAATATTTAAAATTGCAAACATTTCTCAAACATTTAGTTTTGTGTGACCATTTTTAAAACACCTCTTAAACAGAAACAAACTTCAAATATTTTTCACTTCTTAGTGTTACCATTCTTTAATAAATGGTTAACTACTTAGCTTTCTTCAGATACAAAACCACAATCAGTTTTCTACAATGAGAATAATTTCCTTTCTATCTTCTTATGCCTGTACTCATGATAGAAAAAGAGTGAATAAGTTTTTATGGTCTACAAAATACCTTAGGTTTGCGTATTTCAAATCAGATTTACCAAAACTGCTAATCAATCAGTACCAGTGCTACCACAATTGTAGGCTATATAGAGAGAATTAATTGACATAAGCATTTTAGCAGAATACATGGAACAAAACCAAACAAACAAAAAATAAAAATCAATGTGTGTTTAGTTCATAGATGAGTAAACCACAAGTTTCTTCTCCCAGCTGTAAACAGCAATATTACTTGTGTTACATACCTTGCAAATTATGAAAGAAAAACAAAGCACCTTATTAATACATCAACACGCGCAAGATTAAAGATCTATAATCCTCATTCTTTTTGCAGCATTATTATATTACAGCTACTATTACTTTGAACCATAGAGAGAGATCAAAACAGAATTACAAATTATATTTTTCAGCTTCTTCCAGATTTCTTTAAAAAAGATATACAGCCAAAAGATAAAGCAAATGCAATACTAGAAGTGGTCATCATACAATACTAGACTAGATTTACCAGTGTTAAGTTCTCATTTACTACATAATTAGCATTATTCAAATGCAGATGTTCTTGACAACACATAACACAAAATATGTTACAATATTTGTCCTCTCAGTTTGACTATTTCTGAAGCAAAGCACACTGGTTATATGAAAAGTAGTACGTAACATTTTCAGAGGTATGTTCTACACTGCCATTAATATAGCAGAGCTTCATCAGGCTCAGTAACACAGGAGTCTGGTGATCTTATTTCATATTACAGAACAGACCATTTATGGAAAAATAGATTCTTAGATGAGAAGGGGAAAGAAACTATTACGATTATGTGAGCAAAGGAAGCCACCTAAAACCTGATAAATGATAATATGTAGCTATTGAGCATCCACCTAGTTTAACTGCTGTAGCGCACAGAAGGCAGAGGGGCTCAGGTGGTTGGAAAGAGAGTCCAATTTTGTTTCTCGCATCAAAGCATAAGCCAACCAAGACAAACCACTGGCAAGGAAGGTCAATTATTTAGACTCTCCTAAATCTATGATTCTTTGAATAGATTGACAAACCTGTACGGAATCCAAAAGCATTTATCCATACAAATCTCATAATAAATGCATAATAAATTTAAAACAAAATATTTTTTAAAAAATCAATTCTTCTTTCAGAATAGTTTTATTTTCTTGCCCTGAAACAGGAGTATTTTAGAAAAAAAATGGATCATGCAAAATAAGTTTTTGCCAGAAAACAGACGTTTCTAACCAGCTTCAGTAATTATCTTTTACATTCTTCCTGTGTAAAAGAACAGAGCAGTGGAGCGCTGTATTTACTGCAAAAGTATGGTGCTTGAATAGACTGGAAATGAAGAGACTAGAATGAATATAGTAAGAATATGAAGTATAACATTTAATATAATTTATTTATAATCATATATAATTTATAGTTTGTTTACAGAACAGTTATCTACGCTTGCAAAACCCAACATTTCAGTTACAACAACAATCATGAAAAAAGCTAAATTAGACTAGTTTCTCAGTACATTTACTTATTTTCCCAGGTATATAAAGGTATATAATTCCTTCTTTCTGTGCTTTGTGTAAAAAAAAAGAAAAAATGACTGCTATAAAAATCAGCAGCCTAGTGTAGAATATCACTTAAAACTTCTGTGTCTGCTTTTAACCCAATTTGATTTCACATTGACTGTATCCTTATAATATTATTAATCTAGAAAGAAGGGAGGCAGAAGGGACTTACCTTTCCCCTTCCCCCTCCTCCAAATCTTCCCATTACACAGAAAGAAGGAACATGAGTACAGCACTTCTTCCTATGATACACACTGAAGGGTAACTTCAGTCCTAACATGAAAGTGGTAAAATATGAAGAGCTTCTCTTAAACAAGTTTTCAGCATTTTACTTCCCTACTTTCTCCCTCAGCAACTGTAAAATTGTGAAATCCTGAGTTATAGCCTTAAATCTACAAACACTTATTACATTTAACTTTTGGTACACACCTCTGATACTTGTTTAACATTAGACTGCCCCAGGAACGTTGAATGAGCCACATGACATATTGTGGCCCTGTACTATTCTATTTCTTCTCTACAAAAGAAATCTCCCACAACTACTTCTCCCACTCGCTACTACCTCTCTCACCTCGTAATATGAGAAATACATATTGCTAATTTTGCATACATATCACTGGACCACAAGCAATTAAGCATAATTCTGAAACTCTTACTCAAGTCTCACACAGTTATACACAATTCATTTTCCACTGTTTCGCATTATCAATATGACACTCCAGTCTTCAAATAGAAGTAGTTACAGTACATATTTACAATGTCTGACAATGACCAGATTACTAGGTATATTAACTGAAGAATTATTTATGTGGCAAATTTCTCTCTAGGTTATAGTATTCTTGGTGAACACATGGAGTGAAAATAGAACGAATGAATTTGATGAAGTTTTCCAAGTTTGTATTGAAATACTTCCCAAACGTTTGCAAGTTGTTGAAAGTAAACAATTTATCTATAAATCCCTCAAAGCAGATTTTATTCAGAAGTAAACATGTATGTACACATGGACAGGAAGCTGTTCATCCCCCAATAAATTATTCATTTATTCACTGCGCTGCAGGGAGCTTGTCTTCATTAGATGACAGACTGTGTTCAGCCAACATGAAGTATTTCTAAACCCAAGCCATACGCTAGAACCATAAAGCAATCCAGTTGGACTGGATCAAGGAGTCTGCAGAATTAAGAGCTACAGGAGGATGACTGCACTTCTTAACTCCTGTTGCAGAAAATATCAAGATGTCATGATTTTTGGCAACTGTAGGCTCAGGATTTTCTACAAGCAGCCTAATTAGGCCTTACAAAGGACACTTTCAGCCTATTATGCTACTGTCTATTTCTGGTCATATTAGCTCTTTTCCAGAGGAAGATCAAGCTAAGAATTTCCAAATCACCAAAATTATGATTTTATTTTTGGCTTACACAATGCATTAAGGAATGCAACCATCCTTCTGTATAATATCAGCTGTATAGTAAGTGTTGCCTCAAAGTGATTGTACCATACTCTTCAATATTAATGAGAGGCAATCTGCCAAGTTACAGATTTCAAAAAAAAGACTAAACCACTTGTATGATGAGCAATATAATGATTCTCTTATGGGTTTATTAATGCATTAGATATCCCAAAGAAATTCAGTTTGTGAGATGTCAAACATCAAGAATGACAGTAGCACAGCTACCATTTTATTTAAAAGGTAGGGTATACTAAAAATATTTTTGCCACTGGTTAGAAATTATGCTTACCTTTGGCTAGAAGGATTCCCAAAGGATGCCAACTTGAGTCACTTTTTTTTCAGATATCAGTAAAATGGAGATACCTGCAAGTCAAATGAGAAATTTCTGTGGTTTTTTATTTTTAGGTGAACATGCCCACTTATGATACTAAGGTGTAAGTAAAAACAATAATCTTAAACGAACACTTGTGTAAAATGAGAATCTACTGACTTATACATGCAAATAAAATATCAAGAACAATTCAGTGGCTTTAAAACTCAGCCTAGTGTAACACATACCATGTGATGTGTTGCAACAGAGGATTTAAAGCCATTAGCTGTGTAAGTTCCTGTCAATAGTTTCATTATGGCTTTTCTTCAAAGGTCATGATAAAGTGTCTACAGCTATTCCTAGAACTGTATTATAAAAAGCAAGTAGCTTAATATTTTCAATTACAAGTCTGAGAAAAAACCATTAAGTTCCATAAAATGTTTTGAGGGAAGAGAGTAGTCAGTTCCTCCAAAAAGTTTAGAAACAGTCTATGAGAGTCTGTGGGATGACTTACAGCCAGTAAAGTATCTAGCACTGCAAACTTTACATTTGGCAGACAAAACAAAACAAAGTTGTTGAAACATTAACAAGGGTGACTAAACTGCAGAATACTCAACCTCACAAACAGGGAAATATTATTACTTCTGAATGAAGTAAAATAAAAGCATATGTAAAGTGAAAATATTTTTGATAGGTCTGATCAACACACAGAGTTGTAGAACATAAAACTATCACGGTCGTATGGCTTTCTATTTCATATCTGCGCTAACACAGTTTCAAAGGGAGTTCATTTTAGCATGACCTCAGATAGTAAAATCTAGCTTGAAAATGCACAATGTTACATTCATATTGAAAGAAAGGAAAAAGGACACACATACAGCAGGAACAGATGTTATTTCCTGTACTAAATCCCCATCACAGGGACAAAAAGAATTCTAGTACGTATTTTACAGAACAGTACATACAACGGAAAAGAATACAAAGCTTCAAAATCCTAAGTCAACTATAAATCTAGATATTACAGACATCAATAACATAAACCAAACAAAAAACTCCATACAGATGGAACGCAGGACAGTTTACTAATATCCTCATTTTAGGCCTAGTCAAAACTAGGCAGTCACTTAAATCTACTTTTACCAGTATGCTCACAGTAGCAAAAAAGTGTAGTTATGACTTAGAGCTTGAGCAAACACTTTCGCCAGTGCCCCTTTTATGGGAGAGCTAAAACAAAACTGAACTACACCACTAGTAGTATTGACCAACATCATTAGATAACTAATCTGTTTGCCAACAGAAGACACAATTAAAAAACAAACAAGATATTAAAAAGAAAAATCTCATTCCTAACCTAAAAATTACATCTGATGAAGACAAATTTCAAACACAAACTCCATTCAAGTAAAATCTGAAACTAAAGCCAGAGACAAACATTTTAACTTTTTTTATTCATGAATCCTGGAAGAACTTGAGAGCAGAGTAACAACATCTAAAACCCATAAGAAATAAGAGCATCCAAATCCTAAACAATCCTTGCATATGGTGAAACAAACAGCTGAAGAATGAAAGAAAGTCCAGCAGGACAAGTTTCTTTTCTCACCTAGATTATTGCTGGAAGAAAAACTACATATCCTTGTACAAATTGTAGACTGGCATATATTTTAGTCTAACCGGACAAACTGGAGTCAACAATTTAAAACAAGGATTATCACAGTTTATAAATGATACACATATTTCCATATAGGTAAAAGTTCTTACTGCAGTCTTATAGTGTCACTGTGAGACAGACATTTGTTCCAATGTAAAAATGAAATTGAATCATAATCAAATATATATATATATATATATTTGTGAAGACACAAAAATCTTCAATAAGCCTCTCCAGACAGATAAGAATAACCAAAATCCATCCTTATTTTCCCATAGGAGCCTCTGGATTCATATAGTATATTATGTGGATAAGAGGAAACATCAGCCATCAGTACAGAGGGAGAACCAGAAAAGTAAATACATAAGAAAGCAATTGCAAAAATGGAAAATAATTTTTTAGAATGGCTATGGAATTTGGTCAATTTTACAGAAGAAACTTGTTTCTGTTTTCTATAAATAAATTTATGAAAATATTATCATTATTCATGTTGTCTTTTTCACAAAAAAATTAAGATGTTTTCTTACATTGCAAATTGCTAGAAAACCAAGCTTCAAAATATCTGTCTCAAAGGCAATTGCCAGATTGTCTATTTATGGGAGTAGAAAGTGGAATCAATTGATCCACAGAGTAAAGTAGGATTTAGAGGATTATATAGTTCTTTTGTGAGGTAGCCAAATGGGAAAACACTAGGCTTTGTCCACATAATAATTTTTTTAAATCCAAAGTTTTTATGCAGAACACTGTATATCAGGGAAAAAATATTTAAGAATTGAAAAGAAAAATAATTTAATATATTTTTAAAAACCAATTCATTACTTCACTAGCATTCTAAGAGTTCTCCTCATAACATCTGGCCCCTACATTCATGAAGATCTACAAATGAAAAAACCCACTCAAAACTTAAATTAATGTATGTTCCATTAAACTCACATAAAGTAACAAATTCTAAATCAGAAAACAGGAGAAACTATGTGTACTTTCTTAAATGTACTGTAAAACTTATTTGTAGCATTAGATGTCCTAAGTCTCCTGTGCATAAGGCGATTACCATACATCTGTTTTTCCTGGACTTCTCATCTTTTACTACTCCCAGACTCCTTTCTGGGTTACTTTATTCTCCAGGAAGTAACACATGAATTTCGTTTGCTAGTTTGTTAGTATTTTCTTTTTCTAAATGTCCTCTGGAATTGAAAACTAGAGCCTTGCTTCTGCAGGGAATGTTACTGAGGAAGCCAACTCGGCTAATGACAAGGTAAGAAGAGTTCACGTAAGAAGATATCTGAAATGCAGGTAGAAGTAGATTAGGAAGGCCAATCCTTACAGTGCTCCTGCTGGGCAAAAGGTCAGACATTCAGAACTGTTGCCTGCCATACACAGCACCTCATTTTCAACTACGAAAACATTTTTTGCATGAATCGTTGGTATTACTTATGTCCAATCTTTTAATACTTTCAATTCCTATTTTGTATCATAGAAAAAGCAGAGAGAATATCACCGGTACAGACATCTGATTTTCTCCAGGTAAGTTTTCCTTCTCTACCCAAAAAGTTTTGGCTACGCAGAAGAAGCTGATTCCAACAAGAATGGGCAGATGGGCAGCATCCCAGTCAGGAGAGCCTAGTTTCAAGCAGGCTTCTGGTGCTCTGAAACACTGTACAGATGGTTACAGAGATAAGCTCCACAGCAAGTTCAGTATGTCCAGAATATCAACTTGCCGCAGTCAACCTACACTGTAAGTCTCGTGTACCCTGGACATGCTCGACCCCTAGCATAAATTTCTGCTGGGATGTCTGAGGGAAAATAGAAGAACTTTCATGGGAAGGAAGAAGCAGCAGTGAATCTCTAAAAGATAAGCCTAGCAAATCCACTAGGGAAGTTTGATTCAAACTCCCATAGATACAAAAAGAGCTGGAGTTGTCACATTTGCAAGATGTCTAAGGAAAGCATTTCTTACATGTGAAAGACAAACCTAATAGTTTCCTCTTTAAGAACTTTCAGGACAAGAGTGTAATTACATCTGCGATCTCATTTTTTCACTTTGAAAAAAATATTATGTTCAAAATTATATGTAGTCCAGCAAAATAAATTCCACATAGCACTACAGAGACTAGCTAATGCCTTGAGTCATTTGATCTAGGTTGTAGGCTACTATTGGCATTTGTTTCTTCAAGACTCCAATCTTTTAAGAAGAAACGTTATGCTTTCCTCTATCCCTAAACCAAATCTCATTCATGACTGCAGTAGCTTTTTTGGTAACACTCTAGCTAGAATGAAGAAAGAATTTTTAAAAAGAGAGAGAGAGAGAGAGAGAGAAAGCAAACAAGGAGACAGACACTTCTGGCCTAGAAGAACATAAAGCCAAATACAGGCAAGCAAAGGAACCATTCTATTTCTTCTGTAAAGACAAAGACGGGCACACGCTCCATCCACTGAGACACACCAGACCACTCTCAGTTGCTATTTACATACACACAGGCACACACTCCAGTCTTATTTGCCAAATTAGACTGAAATGCCCAGGCATTAGGATTTCTGTGTGAGGAACTGGATCCATCATACGGGGGGTAGGGGAAGAAAAAAATCATTTCTGTAACAAGGAACACTGCTGTTAAGGCTTTTTGTCCTCAAAGACACATTTTGAAAGCAAAAGTGGTATTCAGTATCTATTAAGTAAAAAAATCTTGCTTGATTTCTTCATTTCCATGCTCACAAATGCCTTTTCTTGGTATTCAAATATTAACTACTTATAATATATGGAGCAAAAGAAATGAAAATGGAAATTTATTATAGCAGTTTTTGTCAAGTGTAACTACAGTAAAAGAACTGAAGATAAAATAGATACAGCTAATGACAAATAATATTGTATGCATATTTTTCCCTACCTTGCTCAGTTTTACTGGCAAGGCTACTGTCTGTCCTATCATCTTATATAGACACCTGAGGTTTCAAGAAAGCCAGATTATTCTATAACGGCTAAAAGGAATTTAGAGTTAAATACCTAATCCACAATTCTTACTGGTGATAAAGGTTCTTGGTTGTGTTACAGAAGATAAATGAAAATCAAAGAAATTCACACAAATTGATTTTATAACACAGGCAAGATATCCCAATTCACAACAGAACTACAGTTAATGTATTTCACAGGTAAAGCAGAACTTGGAGAATATGTATACTCTACATGTACATTTGAAAGCGTTACTTTCAAGAAAAATCCAATGATTACATTTCTCTAGCAGACAGCTGTATTTCAAAGACAGTCAGCTGGAAAACAGTTGTGCAGAAGTAACTCGAACCAGTAATTAAAAGTACAAGTATCAAAAGTGCTTGGTTTTAAACAAAAGCCGCGTCCCATAAGCTCTTAGTTTTTATTTTGAAGTGTAGCCTATGTCTGATCAAGT